TTTAACTGATTTTATCCTTCACCAACCCAATGAGATAGCTACCATTCTTATCAATTTACCGGTAAGAAAAATGAGACACAGAAAGATCAAGGCTCTTGTCCAGGTCACACAGCTTAGAAGTGAACCTGAATGTAATTATGCCTTTACATTTCCAGTTTATAGGAGATGTGAGGCATAGAGAAAGAAATTAAATGATACCACAAGAAAGCAATCAGCCAAATCTGGAATGTGAAATATCACACATATTACCCAGTTTGTTTTTTTTTAAATCCTTACCGAGGACTTTTTTCCATTTATCTTCAGATAGAGTGGGAGGGGAAGAGAGAGAGAGAGAGAGAGAGAGAAACATCGAGGCGAGGGAGACACATCGATTGGTTGCCTCCCTCATAACCCCAGCCAGGGCCAGGAACTGAACTGAAATCAAGGTACATGCCCTTGACTGGAATCAAACCCGTGACTCTGGTCCATAGGCCGATGCTCTAACTGATGAGCTAACCCAGCCGGGGCAAAATTACTCAGTTTTACCAACAATCAAGAGTATAAAGAAAAATTTTAAAAGAAAGGCAGATGGATCAGTATGCAATAAAGACACTTAAAACATTTAACTGCAAAATGCAATGTGTGCACTTTGTTCGGGTACAGATTTAAACAAACCATATGTAAAAAGATATGTTTGACACCTTTGAAAACATGTGAACAGAGATTGGATACCAACTAATATAAAAAAATTCTTGTTAATTTTGACAGGTGCAGTCATGGCATGATGCGTGTATATGTGTGTGTGTGTACTTTAAAAATTTTTGCTTTTGCAGCATCATTGAAAATGTCACACAATGAAAAGGGCAAATAATGGCTTAGTGTTATTATGAATGAAATGATACTGGGGGACTCCCAAAGTTCATGGACCACACATTGAGAATTGCAGTCCTAGAAAAATTCTTGCACAGGTGAACCAGGAAATGTATATCAGGAATGGATGTATTAGCAGCACTGTTTGTAAAAGCAAAAGCCCAGAAACAACCCACATTTTATCGTCAAGGGAATGGACAATCTGTTGGTATATCCATGCAATGGTCTACCACACAGGGGTGAATGAATGTCCTGGAGCTCTGTGAAATAGTCTGAGAGAATTTCAGTGTCTTTATTCGTACTCCACCCAAAGCAGAGTGTGAGGCAAGTCTTTCCATATTTAGAAGGTGATCCCAGGAATCAGAAATGGTGAGTGAGAAAAGGAAGAGAAACCCTTAAAATGTGCTTTACTGAGAAACTGATGACTGTGGGCTACTGTGCTCATTCCCACTGAGAGCTCTGTGAGAATCGTGAAGAATACAGTTCAGAACCATCTCTCAGAAGGTGTGAGGCTGGAGTATTTTCCTACGGCTGTAGGTTGATCCCCTGAGGCATGAACTTTCCGGAGCTCCTGAGCTGCACACAGCTTTGTAGAGAGCCCGAGTCAGAGGAGCAAAGAGCTGCTGTGGCCTTTGGGGTGGCATGCTGGCAGCTTGTCTGCAAGTCTCAGCTACCCCGACATCGGGTGGGTTGAGGGAACATGGCTTGGGTCACCACAAGTGTCAGCTAGACTCAGAAACTAATGTTGAGTTAAAAAAGGAAATTACGGAGAACTATGTACAATGTGATCCATTTTTATAAGGTTCAAAAGTACATAAAAGTATATAATGCATTGGGTTTCCCCATGTATGTTTTATTATTTAAATATTATATAAGTAATATATGCCCCTTGTAAAAACTATGAAGAGTAAAAATGAGTTTCTCTCCTTCCCTCTTTCGCCTCCTATCAGTTTTATTGCTTTTTCCAGAAAGAGCTATTTTTTAAATTTTGTTTATTTTTATTTATTTTAGAGAGAGAGGAAGGGAGAGAGAGATAGAAACATTGATGTCAGAGAGAAACATGGATCGGCTTCCTCCTGCACACCTCCTACTGGGGATTGAGCCAGCAACCCAGGCACGTGCCCTGACTGGGAATTGAACTGGGACATCTCAGTCCATGGGACGACGCTCAATCCGCTGAGCCACACTGACTGGGCTAAATTTAATTTTTTAATTTAAGTATAGTTGCTATGTAATCTTATATTGGTTATACTGGTTTCAGGTGTACAATATAATGATTCGACATTTTTATACCTTACGATGTGGTCACCCCACTAATTCTAGTAATCATCTGTCACATGTGGGCTTATCACAATATTATTGACTATATTCCCCTTCTCCTCTTTCATCCATCCCTCCACCTCTTCTCCTCTGGTAACGTCCCCTTGGTCTCTGTTTCTCTGAGTCTGTTTTTGTTTTGTTTTTATAATGCATTGTTTAGGATCCCATTATGGATGTTATGAATATACAGCCTTGGATGCTATGAACGCAGTCAGGACAGGCAGGAAAGGTTTAGCACAGCTGGTAGACAGTGAGCAAACACAAGTCAGGGCAGCTGGAGATAAAGGTAGTGCGTTCCAGAAGGTGGTTCATTGGTAGATGTCTTTGAAACCAACCTTCAATTTTTCTCGGATTTGGAAAGTAAACGGGAGTCAGCTTTTCAGAAAGAATGCTTTAGGGCCAAACCCTATGAAAGGGAATCGCTATGCAGTTAGCCGGGGAGGGAAAGGGTGCCGAGGGCCAAGGTCCCTCTCAGCCGGCGGCACTCGGAGTTTCCCTCGTTTTTTAGGGAGGGTTCTCTTTGCCCTGTTCCTTTATCAGGGGCAGACAGGCAGGGCGTGGCTTGTTGGTGTATAGGGACCGCTGAAGGGAGTCTGTGGGACCGACAGAGGAAGCCCCTGGCTGAGTGCTATGCGCAGTAGGATGAAAGACGAACTTTTCCCAGGCCCGCCTCCAGAGCCCTTCCTGATCCCTCTGCCTGATGCCCGATCTCCCTGAACGGACCGAGCGAGGGTCCCACCTTGGAGGCTCCAGCTCTGACGGGCAGAGGGCGCCTGATTCCAAAGGTGGTGAGTACCCCCCTCCCCCCTTTCTTCGTTCTTTTGAGTCTTTTAACTTTCTCAGGATCCTTAGGTACGTTGGAGAAACTATCCCCTTCCTCCTCAATCACAAGAATATTTTATTTATTTATTCTTTCCTGCGTGGTTCATGAATCACTTAATAAAGCCAATTAGATCTTCAAATTTACTCAGTTGAATTTTGTTCTTTAACACTGGGAGGATAATCCTGTTTAATGTCTTTCTGGTGCTATTTCTTTCTTTCTTTCTTTTTTTTTAGCGTTTATTAATTTATTTTTGTTACAGATGTGTCTCCTTTATCACCCCTAGACACCCTCATCCCGCTCTCGCCCCACCCCACCCCCGCATTGTTGTCTATGTCCATTGGTTATGCATACGTGCATATAAGTTCTTTGGTTTATCTCATCCCTCCCCACCCCACGCCACCCTCCTCTGAGGCTGGTCAGTCTGAACCATATTCCTTTCTATGTCTCTGGGTCTATTTTGTTCATCAGCTTATTTTGTTCATTATATTCCATAAATAAATGAGATCATGTGGTATTTATCTTTCTCTGATTGACTTATTTTGCTTAGCATAATACTCTCCAGGTCCCTCCATGTCATCTCAAAGGATAAGAGATCTCTCTTTCTTACAGTTGCATAGTATTCCGTTGTGTGTATGTACCACAGCTTTTTTATTAACTCATCTACTGATGGACACTTGGGCCGTTTCCGGATCTTAGTTATTGTAAATAGCGCTGCTATGAACATGTGGGTACATATATTCTTCTTGATTGGTGTTTCAGGCTTCTTAGGATATATTCCTAGAAGTGGGATCACTGGGTCAAATGGAAGATCAATTTTTAATTTTTTGAGGAAACACCATAGTGTTTTCCATAGTGGCTGCACCAGTCTGCATTCCCACCAGCAGTGTACTAGAGTCCCCTTTTCTCCACACCCTCGCCAGCACTTGTTGTTTGATGATTTGTTGACGGCAGCCATTCTGACAGGTGTGAGGTGATACCTCATAGTTGTTTTAATTTGCATCTCTCTGATCATTAGTGACATTGAGCATTTTTTCATATGTCTTTTGGCCATTTGTATGTCCTTTTTGGAGAGGTAGCTATTTAGGTCCTCTGCCCATTTTTTAATTGGGTTCGTTGTCTTCTTTTTGTTGAGTTGTATGAGTACTCTATATATTTTGGAAATTAACCCCTTATCTGATATATCATTGGCAATGATGTTCTCCCATATAGTGAGTTCCTTTTTCATTTTGATGTTTGTTTCTTTTGTTGTGCAGAAGCTTTTTAGTTTGATGTAGTCCCATGTATTAAATTTTTCCTTTGTTTCTCTTGCCTTACAAGTTGTATCAGTAAAAATTCTATTGTGGGTGATGTCTGAAATTTTGTTGCCTACATTTTCTTCTAGGATTTTTATGGATTCACGAATCACATTTAAGTCTTTTATCCATTTTGAGTTTATTCTTGTGTATGGTGTAAGTTGGTGGTCTAGTTTCATATTTTTGCATGTAGCTGTCCAATTTTTCCAACACCATTTATTGAAGAGGCTGTGCATGTAGCTTGTCCAATTTTTCCAACACCATTTATTGAAGAGGCTGTCTTTACTCCACTGTATGCTCTTGCCACCTTTGTCAAATATTAATTGAGCATAATGTCTTGGGTAAATTTCCAGGTTCTCTGTTCTGTTCCATTGATCTATATGTCTGTTCTTGTGCCAGTACCAGGCTGTTTTGATTGCAATGGCTTTGTAGTATAACCTGATATCTGGTATTATGATCCCTCCTACATTGTTCTTTTTTCCCCCCAAGATTGCTGCGGCTATTCGGGGTCTTTTTTGGTTCCATATAAACTTTTGAAGTATTTTTTCTAGTTCTACCCACAAGAACATTTTAAAAGACAAAATGAGGTCACAGGAAATGAGGCACATGAAAGGGGACAAGTGACAAGGGGGCTGGGTGGGTTTTGTCTAAGGACTCATTTAAGTATTGTTGTCATCATTATTCATTATTATAGCTATCATTCATTTAGCCCTTACCTTAGCTGGGTCCTGTGCTGTGTGCTTTCAGACTGGTCATTTGTAGATTTGCAGGGTCTTCTTAAGTTGCTTGGAGTTACCAAGGGAACTTCTGTTGTAATGTTTTTCCCCCGCCCCTAGAAGTAACCACTGTTTACTATCTGCATTCTTGCCTTTTTTTATAAGTATCTTCTTCCTAAAGTGTATCATATTATCCATAGCTTTTTAAAGGTGAAAATTTCCCAGTGCTCTTAAATATTGTTGTTTCATGCACATGTGTATGAAGTGCATAGTGTTTTGTTGCAAGAATGTGCAACAATTAGTTAATCATTCCCATTTTAATGAACTTTTATGTTTTTGTTTTTGTTTTTTTCCTTTTCATAAATAGCTTTGTGATGAGCATCCTCACCATCAAATCCTTATGTACATCCTTATTTATTTCTGTAGGATTCTTTTCTGGAAGTAAAATTACTGGATTAAAACTTTTACATACTTGTAAATCACTTAATACTCATTGCTAAATTATCATTGTGAAAGTTGTTTAGTAATGGGCAAGAGGGCCAGTTTGCCTGCATGTGTAATACTTGGGTCTTATTTTTTCTAATATTTGATCATTTCAAGGAAGACAAAATCATATCTAACTGTGGTCTTAATTTGCATTTCTCTGATGACTAGAAAATAAAAGTCCTATTTCTGGTGTTACCCTCTCCTGGGTTGGCTTGCCCCTGTGGCTGCTTACCTTTAATCAGTAACTTGGTGATGTGCTTCAGGGAGACTCCCTGGCTAAAGCCACCTCAGATGCCCGTGTTACACAGAGTGACACTTTGATGAACTTCATTTGCCTTTTTAGTCTTAGAATGTGGCACAAATAATTTCACATGTGTTTTCTTTTTTTTTATTAATTTATTTTTGTTACAGATGTTTCTCCTTTTTTCCCCATTGACACCCTTCCCCCCATTCCCCCACCCCGTCCCCAGCTTTGTTTTCCATGTCCATCAGTTATGCGTACATGCAAATGAGTTCTGTGGTTTATCTCTTCCCTCCCCCCAACATGTGTTTTCTATGAATCCTTACTGTAGCCCTATCTGTGAAGTAGGTACTATTATTAACTTCATTTCATGTGTGAATGAGAGGAGACTTGAAAGAGTAAACTAGTCTAAGGTCACACCACTAGGTAATGGCCGAGCTAGGGCTTGGCCCCGGGCTGACTCTAGAGCCCATCCTCTTAATCACAATAAACAATCCGAATTTAGGAAGATGGGGCCTTGGTGGGGGGAGGGGCGATGCCTCTTGTTTGGTTTCAGACAGCCCTTGTTCAGTTTGGGGCTCTGTCACTCTGGGCATGTCTACTCAGGGTGTGTTTCAAAGGCACCTTCTAATTGAGGGTTTTGGAGATTGGCATAACTCCAGGGGATCCTGGGCCCTGCCTACTTTCATCTTCAATGATAATTGATAAGGTAGAGAGCTTTTCTCATCTACCTAACTTCTCCTGTTTAATTTCTGAGTAGCTGGCAGCCTGTAGGAAAATGGGTTAGATTGAAGCAAGAAAAGTATATCCTGACTGCAATCCTAACTTCACTGTGTCCTTGCATTCTGTTGCCATTTGCAATGCTGGGGGATTAAAGGAGTGTGCTATATACATCACGATTAAAAACAAAACAAGCCCGGCCAGTGTGGCTCAGTGGTTGAGCACTGACCCATGCACCAAGAAGTCACGGGTTTGATTCCCGGTCAGGGCACATGCCCAGGTTGTGGGCCCAGTCTCCAGTGAGGGGCATGCAGGAGGCAGCCAATTGATGTTCTCTCTCATCGATGTTTCTATCTCCCTCTTCCTCTCCATCCCTCTCTCTCTCTAAAAATCAATAAAGGAAAAACAAAAACAAAAACAAAACAACAACCCTAAACCAGTGTGGTGTTTGCCACAAGAAAAACAGCATGGGAAATGTGTTCACAGCTTTAGTCCATCTTCAATTTTCCAACCTCTCTTTGATAGCCCACCTCATCTGAGTCCCATCTTCACCCTATTCCAAGACCTTTGGGGACCTGACCTTTTACAAAGACCCTCCTCTTCAGAAAGGATTTGAAGTCTTGGAGACAACTTAACAGAGGATCTCTTTCTGGAGTGTTTTTACGTTTAAACTTCTTCCCCAGTGCTGGCGTGAAAGATGTGTTTCCTGCTATAGGAAGTTCAGGCAGTCAGGCAGGTGTAAAGAGTTTTGCAGTAAGGAATCCTTTGGGTCTCCCTGTAGTTAATGCATTCAGTGCCCCACACCTCTCAGCCATACAGCACATTTATTGAGCACTTGCTCTGCCAGGCATTTGTGGCAAGTGCCTTATATACCTTTGAGCCCTCGTAGTCCCTGTGAAGAAGGTTCCCCCTTTATAAATTAAGACCTGAAGGTCCACAGACATTATACAACTAAACACAAAAAGAGGCCACTACTCTGGTGTTTACCCAGTTAGTTCTGGGTGTAAGTTCTCAACCTTCCACACTTCTCCCTGTGCCTTCCAGGGCACACTCAGTGTCTACCCTCAGTCCTCACTCTTGGCATTTATAGACTTAACCATGATGCCAGCCTTCGTGCTGAGCCTTCCCTCATTCAGTGCTCACAGTAATCCTGCAAGGAGGCACATTTATACGCATTTAAAGATGGAAGAACAGAGTCTCAGGGAAGTTAAGTCACAATGTTACACGGAGGTAAGTAGCAGGGCCGGGATTTGAATTCTAATCTGTGTGATTCAGAGCAGCTGCTATGCAGCCTCCATCTCTGCCCCACCTCCTGGGTCGTACATTTTTCCACTTCAAGCTCACCAACCCTCTCTGGTGTCTCCCTGTGTCCTCCTAGTTCAGATGGAGACAGCAAGTTCCTCTGGCTCCTGGCTCTCCCGCTGCCTCATCGCACTGGTCTCCCTCCAGCTGCCCATACACGTGTCAGGTAGGAGTTCCTGAACCGCCTTCCCTGCCTGGGACATCTGACCAAGGAGTCCCAGGAATAAGAAGGCCAGGCGACAGGCCTTCTTTCTTCTGGGGTTCAGTTCTAACCCCAGTCCTTTCCAGTGCCCTTCCCAGGCTCTCTCCTTCCCCAAGATACATCCTTCTCCATCCTTCGCTCTCTCATCCCTCCCACATTGCATTGTCCTTTTTTTGTCGTCACTGCACAGGGGACTCCGGCAAGTTCCACCTGGCCCCGCTAGGGGGCACAGCCAAGCTGCTCTGCCCTCTCTCGCTCTGGTCGGTGCCGACGCTCACCGAGGTGCGGTGGCTGCGGTCCCCGCCCCGGGGGCTCTCCCAGGTTGTTCACGCGTTGCGGGATGGCCGAGTCCGCGAGGAAGATGTGGCACCGGAGTATAAGGGGAGGACGGCGCTGGAGAGAGACGAGCAAGAGGGAAATGTCACACTGGAGATCCGCAACGTCCGGCTGGAGGACCGAGGGCAGTACCGATGTCAGGTCCGGGTAGCAAACATGACTCGGGAGGGCACCGTGGTCCTGCAGGTTGCAGGTTAGTCATTTTTCAAAAGGGGGTGAATTATGGGATGCCGGTGGTGGTTGGGTGGGCTTGGAAAGGTGACAGGATGCAGCTAGGGACTGCCCCATCTTTCCGAGGACAGTGGGTGGGAGAGAGCCGGCGGTCGAGGCAATAACAGCCCCGCCCCCGCTCCCCCGGAGCGGCCGGCGAGCGAGATCGGGGCTCAGGCGGCACCGGCTCTTGCCTACGCCCTGCCAGGCCGCGTTCCTTTCCAGTTCTAGGCTCCGACCCCTACATCCACGTGAAGGGCTACGACGCTGGATGGATCCAGCTGGTGTGCAGGTCGGTAGGATGGTTCCCCATGCCTTGGGCCGAGTGGAGAGACCCTCAAGGCAGGGTGCTTCCATCCGAGCCCGAGGCCCCTTCCCTGGACAAAGCCGGGCTCTTCAAAGCAGCGGTGTCCAGCAAAGTCAGGGACAGCACCGTGGGCAGCGTGTCCTGCACCCTCCGCAACGTGGCCCTTGGTCAAGAGAAGACCACAGCCATGCTCATAGCAGGTAAAAGCTGGGACGGAAAACTCTCACCCCAGGGGAAACTTTATAAAGAATTTTTGAATTAAGTACGAAGAGTGCCACATGTTTATTGTAGAAAACTTAAAAAATGCAGAATATTTATTTATTTATTTTTATTTTTATTTTTTTTTATCCTCACCCGAGGACATTTTTCCACTCTGTATAGATAGAGCGGGAGGGAGAGAGAGGAAGAGAGAGAGAGGGAAACATCGATGCGAAAGGGACACATCGAGTGGCTGCCACCCGCACGACCAACCAGGGCCGGGGACAAACTGCAACCGAGGTACATGCCCTTAGCGGGAACCGAACCCGGGTCTCTCCGGACCGCAGGCGGACGCTCTAACCGCTGAGCCAAACCGGCCAGGGCAAAAATGCAGAATATTTAAAAGAAACAAATAATAAAAGACCTATGATCTCATAAATTGGAGAGAACCACTACTAGCAGTTTGGGACATTTCTTCCATGGGTGCATCTCTGAGTGCGAATTGAAATGTATGTGTATTCTTTTTTTTTTTTTTTTTAATCTGTGGGAAGTAATTTTATTTCTGTTACAGATGTTTCTCATTTTTTACCCCTTTGACACCCTGTATGTGTATTCTTGATTTTGTTTGTTTTTGTGAATCTTCACCTGAGGACACTTTTCCATTGATTTCCAGACGGGGGGGAGGGAGAGAGGGAGAGGGAGAGGGAGAGGGAGGGAGAGAGAGAGGGAGAGAGAGAGAGAGAGAGAGAGAGCGCACCATTGATTCCCACACACCCCCAGCTGGGGTCAGGGAGTGAACCTGCAACCCAGGTATGTGTCCTTAACTAGGAATCAAACCTGCAGGCCAATGCTCTAACCACTGAACCAAACTGGCCAGGGCCACAAAAGGTTATAAAGGGTGTATAGTGTTTCATTGTGTGGAAATAGCATAATACAATTAATCAAAGCCCTATTTCTTGCATCTGGATGGTTTCAGTTTTTCCTCTAACATTGCAGTGAACACCTTTGCACATAATTTGGGAAGTGATTCTGATTATTTTCTTAGAATGTGTTTCTAGAAGTAGAATTAATGGATCAAAGGGTTATGAACCTTTTTTTATTTATTTACATTTTTTTTTCTTTATTGATTTTAGAGAGAGAGGAAGGGAGAGAGAGAAACATCAATGAGAGAGAACATTGATTGGCTGCCTCCTGCATGCTCCCCACTGGGGAAATGGCCCACAACCTGGGCATGTGCCCTGACCAAACTGGTAACCTCTTGGTGCATGTATTGACACTCAACCACTGAACCACACCGGCCAGGCTGGTTATGAACCTATTAAAGACCCTTGAAACATGGAGCCATGGGGCAGAGAAGGGTGGTTTTATTTTTATTTGTTTTTAAAATATGTTTTCTTAATTGATTTTTTTAGAGAGAGAGAGAGAGCTAGAACATCGATGTGAGAGAGAAACATTGATCGGCTGCCTCCTGTACGCCCCCTACTGGGGATCAAGCCTGAAACCCTGGCATGTGCCCCAACTGGGAATGGAGCTAGGACTTCTCAGTCCATGGGACGACACTCAATCCACTGAGTCACATTGGCCAGGCGAGAAGGGTGGTTTTAGAGCCAAGAAAGATAGTGTAGCCTGGGGTCCCAGGTGAGGAGGGATCATAGACCTCTGCTAAGCCCTTCTGTTCTCTCTCAGTCCCCTCTCCTCTCTTTCTACTGTCACTGCCTCTCACTGGTGCTAAGTACTTTACATCCTCCTCTCTTTAAATCTGCCAACTACCCAGTGGAACTGGGATCATTATTATCCCCATTTTACAGATGACAGACCAGGCTTGAGAGGCTCAGCCTCCTGCCTAAGGTCTCGTGATGGATGAGTGAGGACCCACACCCAGCGTAGGCTCTTCACTCTTGTCACAGTGCCTCCTCTGCTCTTTTTTCTTCTCTATTTCTTCTCTCCTTTCTCCTGCCTAGGCTTTACGCCTGCTGCCACAGCCCCACAGAAATAGTTCTGGCCCTGCTCATGCGGCTCCTGGCAAAGGGGCCCTGATTGCTGTTCCACAGCACAGTGAGGATCTGAAGCAGGCGGCAGGTGGCGCTCAGAAGACTACAGGTGGTTATTGAGGAGGCACCTCCAGTTCTTCAAAGAACCTGGATAACTTTTCCATGGAATTGTAGGGCAGGATGAGGCTGTGATTGGGAAGCTGAGTTTAACCCATTGTGTTCAGGCAGGACCATCAAAACCATCCCTGAGAGATGAACATCTCACTTTAAACTCATCCCTGGTCACCCAGGGTTTGAGTTCCTGAGAGAAGCCAAGAGCCTCACCACTCTTGGCTTGAGGTCTCTCCCTAGAGGTGACAGAGACAGCTGGGATGTGCCCGAGCCATCTTCCATATGAGGTGGGGCCCTTGACCTGGAAGAAGCTGAGAAATCTCCTGAGGGTGGTCATTGGTGGTTCTGTGTCAGCCCCATCTCCAGGGAGGATCTCCCCCTCAGCAGTGGCTCTTGCTGTGATCCTGCCTGTCCTGGTGCTTCTCATCGTGGTGGGCATTTGCCTCATCTTGAGGGAAAGACGATCAAAAGGTAACTAAGTGGTAAGGGAACCCAGGTGGCAGGAATTTGAACTGCGGCTTCCCTAGGAAAAGGCTGGGAGGAAGGAGACATAGATGTGATAGTTACCCATAGGTTGGAGACCCTGCAAATGGGCTGGGAGAGAACTAGTAGAACAATGTTCTGGGGACTCATATTGCAGAGAAGGTCAAGGAAACTGCAGGAAGCTCCTGGGAAGAGTTGTGAATTCTCAGCTTTTGAGGAGTTAGAAGATCATGCCAGTCTTCTAATTAAAAAATCCAATTCTATCCATTGGATAAAACCCTCTTAAACATGATTGCATTTCACCAGATCTCAGAGTTGTATGGCACCTTGAAAAGTACATAATCCAACACTCCTTTCCCTATCTGATGGTCTGAAGACCCTCTAAGCCTTCCAGTGGTCACACACCCACAGTAGCAAGGAGCAAAGTTGTCCTTGGACAACTCTGCCTGTTAGAAAAAGCCCTTCCTTAAGCTAAATTGACGTCTCTCTCTCTCTCCTTCTTCCAGAGAAGCTTCTGTATGAACAGGTGACGGAGGTAGGTAAGTGTCCTGGGATGGGTGGGGATGTTTCTCTGTTTTACTCTTTTTTTTGTGACTCCAGTGCCCACTGATCTAAATTCTGTACCTGAACATCCCAACATCTCTGTCGTTGGTGGCAGCAGTGATGTGGAGTCTACACCTGTAATTTCCAGTCTTTGCTGATTCTGACTTGTAATAGTTCACCTTTCACTGTGTTTGATGGTTTTTGTCTGTGGACTCATTGCTTGATCGTATTCTGTGGGAGTTGTATAGGTCTAACATGGGGGATGCTTTTATTCACTCAACAAATAATTGATCATTGTCCGCTAAGTGCCTTGGACTATTCTAAATGCCAGGGATACAATGGTAAGTAGAAGCAGACAGTCTTTGCCCTCTGGGAGCTTTCAGTCCAGCCAAGGAGGTATACATGAATTAAATAGTCGCACAAATAACTGTAAAAGTACACCTGTACAAATTCCGCGAGTGCAGGTTCTGGGGGCTGTGGAGGTTATGACCAGGAGGAGCTTCAGGGACAGGAGAGGAGTCCTCAGGGGAAGTGATGCTTGATCTGGAGGATGGGCAGGTACAGAGGAAGAGGGAACAGAAAACTATGCAGCAGAAAGAACAGCTTGGGAAAGAAACACAGTGCAGAAGTGACAGGAAGGCGACAGAGGTCAAGGCTGCAGAGTTAGGCAGGGGCCAGGCTGCGTGAGGCCTTGTCGGTCATATGAAGGACTTCAGGCTTTCTCCTCAGGGCCGTGGTGAAGCAGTGGGTGGGACATCATCAGAACTGTGCTTCGAGAAGCTCCCTCAGGCTGCAGTGTTGAGAAGAGACCAGAAGGAACAAGACGGGGTTGGGGGCAGTGTGGGTCACTAGTTCTGTTATCCAGATGAGAGATGATGAGGGCCTGGATCAGGAAGGTGGTGGCAGCGACAGAGGTGGACAGGTTCAACGGCAGGTAAAATCAGTAGGAACCAAGGGCCTTCAAGGTAATGGTTCAGAATCTCATTTACTTGTTCTTTTTACTTTCCTCCCTCTAGAAAATCTTCTCTCAGACCATGCAAAAGAAAAAGGTAAGTATATGTATAGAGTAAGGGGTAGGGCCCGGCCAGTGTGGCTCAGTGGATTGAGGGGTTTGATTCCTAGTCAGTGCACGTGCCTGGGTTGTGGGCTCAATCCCCAGTAGGGGGCGTGCAGATGAGTGTGTTTCTCTCACATCAATATATCTCTCTCCTTCCTTCTCTCTCTAAAAAATCAATAAAAACATCTTTTAAAAAAGAATAAAGGGTAGGGAACAAATAACATATTATTTCTCCTTCTACACAAATGCTGACTGTCTATTATTATACACACATTACGCAGGAGGTACACACACACACATATCCTCCATTAATAGTATTGATGGCAGTGGGTGAGAGGATGCTCATGGTAAAAATTCAGAGGTCTAAAATATCATGAGCTCCCTTTACCAGCCTCTCCACCAATCATCTATAAAGAAGGTCTATATTCTATTTACAAATAGATGAATATGCTCATCTGGGATGTATGAGAATCTCAAGGATCCGTACAGCCTTTGCATTCAGCCAGGTGGTGTGACGCAGGGGGAGCCACCGGCTCCGGAGTCAGCCACACCTGGTTGGATCATGGGCCTGCCTTGGATATGTCCCTTCACTGCTGTGAGCTTTAGTTTCCTCATCTGTAAAATGGGGCTAATGATATCCCCTCACCCGATTGTTTTCAGGATTAAAGGAGACAACTTGAAAAAACTCTCCTATCACAGTGCCTGGAACTCCTTTCCCTTACTGCCCCTTCATCTTTATGAATCGAATGTTTGCTCTGGGCCACTGAGGGTACAGAAAACAGGCAGGGTCCCTGCTCCCTGAAAATCCAGCTGAGAAGTCAAGTCACTGGCTCAGAAATGGTTCCACATGCAGTGATTTGGGCATCTGCTCTCCTCTTCCCTTACATCTGCTCCCAGCGGGGGCAAGTGCGGGGTGCCCACTGCAGGGACACTGGCTGTTCTCTCCAAGAGCAGAAGGCACAGCCTGGCGCAGTGGCGAAGGCCTCCGACTAGGAGTCAGACGCCCTTGGGCTTGAATCCTCTCCTTGGCCACTTACTAACTGGATGACCTGCGCAAATGTCTGTGTCCTCTGAGCCTCAGACCACCACTCTGAAGAATGGGAATAATAATTATATGTACCTCATGTTGTGGAGAGCGCCCACCTTCTTATGAGACCAGGACACAATAAATGGAGGCTGTTAGTAGTGGAAATATAATATATCGATATTATATATAAATAAGATAATCACTATTATTATAATTAATCATTAATATAATTAACATTATATAATTGTAACATTGATTATACTAATACCATTAATATAGACACCAACCACAAGCTCCTTAGGGCCACATCATATTCCTTTGTTGCCCCAGTGCCTGATGCCTAACACACGCCCAGCCCTAGCACAGGGCTGGCAGTGTAGCTTCAGCTCTCTGGCAGGGCCAATGCTAGGGAAAGTGTGGACCAGATGGCCCCTCTGGAAAAGCCACAAGCTCTCCCCCAAAGCATGTGAAGTGTACACATATGTTCCCAAACCGTCTGGAATCTCCAAGTTTGTGAATCTCTCTGCCGAACCCCCGGGGAGTTGCTGTAGAGAATGATAAAGCATGTCCACAAGTCAGTGCTATGCCTTCACTGTAGATATTCTAAACACTAGGTTATAAAAGGGCAGCAAGGCATACACTAATGTACACACGGTTACAAATGGACACACTCATACAGACAGCAGGAATAAAACCAGACAGAAGGAAGGGAAGAGGGAGGAGGAACCACACACCTGGGCAGTCTGCCCTTTGGGAGATGTGACTGCACTAGCGGCCAATCAGAGCATCATTGTTCCATTGTCCCGCGGGGTGTGGGGGTGGGGAAGGGATAGAGTGATGAGCCTTCCTGGGCTCAGGGGTAAAGCAGAGCATCTGTTCACTCATGTCTTTTTCTGTTTTTTTTTTTAGGAAGACTCCATAAAACCCTCAGTAAGTTCTCCTCCTCATCCTCATCCCTGGCACAGACTTCCTTCTGCCGCTGTCTTTGCTTTAGGATGTGTGTCTTAGTTTCAATTCCCAGGGCAGAAGAGGGGCCAGGGTACTTCAAGCCATGGGGTTGGAGATGTCTTTGCTCTCAGCAGTGTCTTTTCTCAAAGATTCCTTGCCTCCCTTTCCTGCACAGCAGTTACCTAGTTTCTAAATGGGAAACGTTTAACCAAGAAGAGATGTAGCTCCCGTAGATGAAGCCATCCAGCAGACCCTTTATCCCCAGGCATGGCATCCCCTTAGGTGGGTCCCAGGTGGATGGATCCTCATGAAACCCAATGCATGGAGCAGCGTTTTTCCACCATCTCATATATGAGAACCCCTTTACTGCAAAAAAAAAAAGAATCTTCAGACACGACATGTCTATTTTACTTTACCTTGACTAAATATGCACAAGAAAATCTAATAGAAATTCAGTGATCATTTTAAATGAATTTATATTTTATTCTTCTCTCACAACATCTACATACATCATGTTGTTATCACCTAGATGCATGAGATGTGTATTCAGTGAGTCCCAGTCAGGTTTGGCTCACTTAGGAATTTGCTGATCCTCTGCAGTGTCTGGGGACACCTGGTGTGGGGCTGGAAGCCACTGCTGTGGCACTGTCAGGGTAGAGGTAGTGAGGACCTGACATGGGATGTGGTTGGGGTAGAGGTAGTGAGGATCTAACGTGGGATGTGGTTGGGGTAGAGGTAGTGAGGATCTAACGTGGGATGTGGTTGGGGTAGAGGTAGTGAGGATCTGACGTGGGATATGGTTGGGATGGGACCCCAGTATTATGGAAACGTGGAAGCCCTCGTTCTGATTGGTCAAACTGTTTTTATTCTTTAGAGAAACTCCGGAGTGAACTGAGTAAGTTTCCCATGTTCTTATAACTTCCATACCAACTTCTCTCCTGTTGATTCTATGTTTTCAGTGATAGTTCATCCTCTTGTTTCTTTTTTATTTTTATAGAGTTTAAAAGAGCTGCAGCCAACTCAGGTGAGATGTGCTGTCCCGTGCTGACTCCCTGGGGTTCTCCTTTTCTCCTTCGCTTTCACAGTCTCCAACCCCCTTTGTCTTTCAGGCTGGAGGAGGGCCCGGCTGCACTTCCGTAAGTCCCACCAGTCAAATCCACCCACGTTTCAGAGCCCAGTGCTCTGTGCCTTTGGAATGTAGATCGCTGTTTTCTTTTCTTAAATCAAACCTGTTTATCTGCTTATCAAATTTTTTAAAAATCTGATTTTTTTTTTTTCTGGAAGGGGGCTCCTAGACTTAGAAAATGTATTGGTTATTATTATATCTTCTTTCTATACAGTGTGGAAACTCGTCCTGTTTATCACTAATTATTTTCTGAGTTTTTCATTTTCATTTTAATTTTTTTTATATTATGTTTTTGATGCATGAGTGTCTTATTTTTATGTAGTCAAATTTTAAAATCTTTCCCCGGGGAGTTTCTCCTGTGCTTTCAGGATTGGGAAGTCCTTATGGCACAGCTGGGTCTATGCCAGCACTCCTGTCTGTCTGCACATCTGCCACGTTCTTCTTACCTGCAGATCGGTTTCCTTGGGGCTTGGTGGTTGAGATTCTCAGAGAAGGGAATGGGTTGGGCAGGTGCCACAGCAATGTAGACTATATAAGGTTTTGTAGTTTTATTCTAGAAGACTTGCACATCTCTTTAATTTATTCCTAAATATTTGCATTTTTTTTTTTGCTGCTATTTCAATGAGATCTGCTCATTTCCCTGTGTGGGTCCTTATCAATTTTCCAGGTTGTCCACCCCCCTTTTGATCACACTGTCTTCCTTCAAGGGCAGGTACAGTAGGACTGATGAGTTGGCCACTCGAGAGCATACCAGGTCACCTTGGTTGACATTCTGGGAACTCACAACCCTTCTCACACTCACAGTCTGGCTTACTCCCACCACTTCACCAGAGCACCCATTTCATGGATTTAACTCTCCAAGAAGACCTTCCACAATTTTAAGGAAGAATCCTTCTCTCTGTTAACATTTAAAAGTAATAATTACAAGCAATAATCTTAGCTAACAATATGAGCACCACGCACTTGTGTGTGAAGGGGGCACCACCACATGCATTAGCTCATCAAATGTGCACAATTGCTGTACAGCGTGCTGCCGTTTTCTCATTTCACAAACCTAGAAACTAAGGTTTGGAGATAAAGAACGTGCCCAAGGTCATACAACTAGCATATGGCAGAGCTGGGACTAAAACTTCCAGGGTTGCTTCTGGGTCCAACACCAGAGCCGATGTTTATTATCATACAACAGTTTCCTTGGGACCATTGAGGACAAAGGCAGTACTTCCTGAAGGATTCAGGCAGCTTCACAGGCAGAGGAAAAACTTTTCCTCCTTTACTGAATGCATAACCAGGCGATCTAGGAGACTGGGAGACACTTTTCTTTGGTTCCAGTACATATAGGGTAGAGGGAATCGTGAGCTAAAATGGGTCAAGGGCCCCGACAGGGGTCTCAGACCCAGAAATTACTTCCCCTCCAAGCCACCAAAGATCCCGTGAGACGTAACTTTCCCACACCTCACCTCTCTGTGCCTCTCTGCAGTGGCGGTGACCCTGGACCCCGACACTGCGCATCCCAAACTCATCCTGTCTGAGGACCGCAGAAGTGTGAAGCTGGGGGACAGAAGGCAGCCTGTGCTCGACAACCCCCAGAGATTTGACTTCGTCGTCAGCGTCCTGGGCTCCGAGTCCTTCATGGCTGGTTGTCACTACTGGGAGGTGTATGTGGGAGACAAGACCAAGTGGATCCTGGGGGTGTGCAGTGATACCGTGAGCAGAAAGGGGAAGGTCACCGCCTCTCCTGCCAATGGACACTGGCTTCTGCGACAGAGTCGTGGGACCGAGTATGAAGCTCTCACGTCCCCGCAGACCTCCTTCCGCCTGAAAGAGTCCCCGCGCTGCGTGGGCGTTTTCCTGGACTACGAAGCAGGAACCATCTCCTTCTACAATGTGACCAACAAATCCCACATCTTTACTTTCACCCACACGTTCTCTGGCCCCCTTCGACCTTTCTTTGAACCTTGCCTTCATGATGGAGGGAAAAACAAGGCACCGCTAATCATCTGCTCAGAACTCCAGAAATCAGAAGAATCGGTTGTCCCCAAGCCAAATGAAAAAGGCCATGCTAACGGAGATGTGGTCCGGAAGGTGGACTCTTCCCATCTCCGGAAGGTGGACTCTTCCCTCCTGCCCCCTGACCTTGGCCCGGCCCTCCGGGGGCTCAAGGTTCCTTCTTTTTAGGGAGGTATGTCATTAGCTGCTCCTCTGAACATCCAGCCCAGTGCTCTGGATTTCAGTCTCCTGGCCCAACACGATTCTGAAACAGCTCATCTCCTTTCCCCAAATCCAGAGCCTTTTGTGGTTCTGTTCATGCCACCTTGGTCCCAGTTCTAAACCCTGTCTCCTTCTGGGGACTTGAAGTTCCCATTGCCCTGGAAGAATTCTTGAAAACCAAATGAACAATCAGATTAGGTTTAGGTGGCAATGTTGAGTGTGTGTCACTGAGATCCAGGGGTTCTCCATTCAAGGGGCTATTTTTTTTTTTTTTTGTATCCTCAACCGAGGACATTTTTTTTCATTTTTTTTGTGCAGAAAGAGTGGGAGGGAGAGAGAGGAAGAGAGAGAGAGAGACACACACATCGACGTGAAAGGTACACATCAAGTGGCTGTTACCTGCACCAGGGCTGGGGACAAACCGCAACCGAGTGCCCTTAGCGGGAACCAAACCCGGGTCTCTCTGAACCACAGGCCGACACTCTAACCGCTGAGCCAACTGGCCAGGGCTCAAGGGGCTGTTTAGAAGGACTTCACCTTATCTCATCCTGCACTCGGACTTTTAGTCATGAAGTTACAGGGCCCAGTCCCTGACTTCTTACTTATTTTATCAAGAATTGCTTCTCTCTCTCTCTCTCATTCAGGCCTCTCACCCCCAAAGCCAGCTTTTTAAAAGTAAACATGTTTTGGGTGACACAGTCTTTCTTTATCCTTCTGAGATATGGGGTTGGGGATGCTGGGGGTAAAACACACCATCCTTTTCTATTTCCTCGATGCTGTTTACAACATAGTTTGGTGATGTCCAGAGCTAATGTACATGTTTTCAAAGTTAATTTACCTATTGGTGATAAGCAGGTACAGGGACTTTAAATGTGGTCGCTGTAATCCTGAAACGCCTCAGATGTGCGATCAGGAAGTTCATAAGCACAACCTCAAACACAGCGGGCCAGCTGTGTGAGGCCCCGGAAAGACAGCTATGGGTGAGTTCATCTGTTGCATTGGCCCTTCCGAATACCCTCCTGAGATTTAGAGAGGCCCAGCTAGAAAAAGTGGCCGTTTTAACCACCAAGGTAGACAGTTTTCCTCCAAAAGGTATTATACTGGAAAACTTCACTATTTGTGTAGCAGACTTCTAGGTCAGAGAGTACTGATTGCAGATAGAAGTTGGTAGACCAGGTGTGAGGATAAAATGAATCTGACTTTTTGGTGTGGATTGCAGAAAAAAGCCTAGCCACTTTCAGGTCATACCACGTATGTGATCTGGCCTCTTTTTGGAGATATTGGCTATCAGTTTGCAGTTGGATACTCGGTTCTACCCAACAAAAACTGGATCTTTCCATCAGAAGTTCTCTTTGTTGCTTTTTAGTGCCTGTATTGGTCAGGGTTCTTCATAGAAATAGAAAAAAAAATTATATATGTATATATATATCTATGGAGAGAGAGAGATTATAAGAAATTGGCTCATGTGTTTATGGAGGATGCCATATCCCAAGATCTGCAGGGTCAGCAGGTTGGAGAGATCCAGGGAGTCAATGATTTAGTTCCTATCTGAGTCTGGAGGCCTAAGACCCAGAAGAGCCTATGATATAATTCCAGTTTGAAGGCTGATAGGCTTGAGACCAAGGAAGAACTGATATTTCAGTTTGAATCTGAAGGTAGGGAAAAAGTGGATGTCCAGTCTGAAGGCTATCACATAAGAAGAATTTTACTAGGGGAGAGTCAGCCTTTTTGTTCTATTCTGGCCTTCAACTGATTGGATGAGGCCCACCCATGTTAGGGAGGGTAATCTGCTTTACTCAAGCTAATGATTTAAATGTTAATTTCACCAAAAATACCCTGACAGAAACATCCAGAATGTATTTGACCAAATATTGGGCACCTTGTGGTCCAGTCAAGTTGACACATGAAATTAACCACCACAGTGCTCAAGCAGAATTTTTCTTTTTTTTTAATCCTCATCCAAAGATATTTTTGCATTTATCTTCAGATAGAGGGGGAGGGAGAGAGGGAGGAAGAGAGAGAGAGAGAAACATCAATGTTAGAGAGAACCATGGGTCGGTTGCCTCCACTACGTGCCCTGACTGGGGATAGAACCCACAACCGGGGTGTGTGACCTGATGGAGAATTGAACCTGTCACCTTTTGGTGTACAAGACAATGCTCTAACTAACTGAGCCCCACTGGCCGGGGACCAAGTAGAATTTTTTGTACATTTGCTTTTGTATAGTTCTTAAATAAAAGTTTGGTATTCATTGTTATTTTCATTGTGAATGAGAAGTTGTAGGAAAAGGCTTTGGGCTAAGAGGAAAACACATTATGGGATTGGTTTCTAAACAGCCTTCAATCCACCCAAGCGTGCTTTAACATAGTTAAAAATAAAACTACAGTTTTATTTCTGAGTCTGCCTTCTCAGCATTTTATTTAAATCAATTTATAAACTAATAGTGTGTGTGTGTAGTTATTTATATTTCATTCATTCATATTCAGTTTCAAACCTATTTTCCTGACTATCCCAATCTTAAAACTAACATTGTAGGAGGAGGGTGATGGGGGTGGTGGTGGATGAGATAAATCAAAGAACTTAAATGCATGTATGCGTAACCTGTAACCTAGGGACATAGACAACAATGGGGGGGGGGTTGGGGCGGGGAGTGGGATGGGGAGGAGGGTGTCTAGAAGGGAAAAAGAAGAAACATCTGTAACAAAAATATATTAATAAATATTGTAAAAACAAACAAAAAAATTAACATTGTTCACACTGGATGCACCCAAGAAAATTTACCAGCAGGAAAGAGACCTGACATTTGTGGAGACAGAAGCTTGATATATCCTTACAACAATTCTGTCAGGGATTTTATAGTGGAGGAAAATGGTGCTCCAAATGGCTAGGTGCTAGAACTGGGATTATAAATCCGTTTTACTTCCCTCTGAAGACAATACTCTTTGCACTGAAATACCATGCAAATATGAGAAGCCTGTAGAATTTTAGCCTATCTATTCAATTAGGCTATTTTTTTTTTTTTAAAAAGTGAAACCTGAAACACAACAAAACAAAACAAAACAAAACACAACCCAAATCCTGGATATACATTAATGGTCTTGTTGTGGCAGGACTGATGAACAATAGCCAGGTTTAACTACATAGGACCAGGAAAAAGTCCGTGTTCAGGGTGTTAGGAGACCTGGAGGTGACTCCCAGGACAGAGAAGGTTTACCTTCTCTGACAAGTGGATTGGGTTACTTGATCTTTAAACTCCCAGTTCCAAAATCCTTTGACTTTAAATTACGAACCTCTATGAACCTCGATTGAGGCTCGGGACTCTAGGCTTCCTGCTGGGAAGAGGCACCAACTCACGGAGGGCATGTAGGTTGGCTCTACATAGTCTGCAGCTTCCCAGACCAGTGGCCCTGCACGCTGGGTTCTTCACGCTGAAGCGCAGAAGGAAACCTGACGACTTTAGGAGGAAAGCCTGTGTGCGCGGCTGGGTTCCAAACTTGGCACATTTCTTCCAGTCCGCGGTCTTTCCGAACAGGACTACAACTCCCAGCGTCCACCCCGAGTCCAAAGCTTATTGGCGGCCTCGCTCGGGTCTCTTGCCTGGTGGCAGCTAGTACAGCCAATGGGAAAAAAGGCCACTCTCAGGAACCAATGCTGGGAAGGCAGGGTGGATCTTTTTTGGGTTCCGGCTCCGGCCCCTCCCCCGACCCTCCAAGGCAGCGCTGTCCCTGACCGAGCGGCGGGAGCGAGGTGGGTTCGGGTTGGGCCCGAGGACACGGGGGGAGGCGGACATGTTTTCGTGGGGACCCTGAGCATGGCTCCTTCCATCTCTCCAGGGTCCGGAGGTGGTGGCTTTGCTCCCTGGCCCCAGTGGGGGCAAATGGGCCCCTGTGATCCCGACCCCTGTCCTCCTCTCCCGCCCCGCGCTGGCCTAACCCCTACTCTCCGGTCCTTCTCCTGTTGGCCTCTGAGTACTCCAGGCCCCCTGCCACTGACCATACGTTTGGGGTCAGCCCACCTCTCCCACCCCTCGGGCCCCAAGCCCGCCGGCAACTCCGAAGCAGCTCCTGTCCTCCAGAACGTACCCTCGGACTGCGCCACGGGCTTCTCCCCTACCCACCCACACAGCCCAGCCGCCGGGCCCGGGCCCCTGGCGCCTCTGGTCGCAGCGGTTGCGCCCTGTCTCCTGACCATCTTCTCGGACCCTCTGACTCCTCTGATCCTCCTCTATCCCTGACCCGTTATCCAGCCACCCTGAACAGTTCCCTCTTTTTATCTGCGCTTTCCAAGCTCCTTTATTCCCTTCCTCCCAGTTCTTGACCTGACCCTAAAGAACTTAAACTTTGGCCCTTCAGACCAACTTCCAGCTTGGACCCCTCTAGTCCAGGCCTTTGAACTTCAGCATCAGACCAGACCCATCTTCTTGGCTCTTACTGTTTCCGCCTGGCTCCTCCACTGCCAGAATCCCTTCCACTTTTGGTCCTCGAACCCCCCCCCCCCAAGACATGTGGGATGGGCCCTGGTCTCACCCAAATCTCTGAAATGTGTTAGGAAAGTGCCTCTGTACTTTGCCTGCAACTGTCTTTTCAGTAGAAGTAGACTCCATCTTGCTTACCTATCCTGCAAGCCCTAGTTGGAATACCACCTTTTCCATGAAACTGTTCATCCCTGATCTCTTCAGGGAGGTATGAAATCCCATGGCACTGTTTTTCCTTCTCTACTCCCTACCTCCCTTCCTTGCCTCCTTCCTTACCTCCTTCCTCCCTCCCCCTCTCCCTCCAACACTAGTGTGGTACCTAAAAGCACTGGCTTTGGAATGATGAACATAGGTACCAGTTTTGCCACTCACTTGCTATGTGCCCTTGGGCATCTTATCATTTCTCTGAGCCTCACTTTCCTCATCTCTAAAATAAGTTGTGAGAATGAAATGAGATGATTCCTATGTAGTGCTTAGGCCTGGGCCTACCACTTGGCATAAGCTTTAAAAAATGTTAACTGTGCCCTGGCCGGTTTGGCTCAGCAGGTAGAGTGTTGGCCTGTGGACAGAAGGGTTGCAGGTTTGATCCCTGGCCCCAGGCAGGGTTGTGCGGGAGACAACCAGTCGATGTGTCTCTCACATCTATGTTTCCCCCTCTTTCCCTCCCATTCTCCCTTCCACTCTGTCTAAAAGTCAGTGGAAAATATCCTTGGGTGAGGATTAACAACAACAAAAATGTTAACTGTCATTATTATTGGCTCCTGTATGATATGCCAGGTGCTGTGTGAGGCACTGAAGAGTGAGTACAAAGGTGACTAAGGCACAGCCCCGTCCCCCTGGAACTCAGCCTTTTACTGTACAAGAGTTTGGAGTTCATGGCCTGTTTCACTGCACTGTACCATAAACTGTTTGAGGGTAGTAACCACAATCCTAAATCCTTTTGCTCTTATTTTGACCCAGCATTCAGACCTGAGTAGAGCCAGAACTTGGTAAAGTACGGGTTCCCAGAGTAGCAGGATTGGATGTAAGTAGATGCTGTGTAGATAATATGTGTCACCACTGGGGTCTAGCCCTAAAGTAGTCAGTGCGTGGCGTGGAGCCTTGGTGGGGTGGGGAGTGAATTAAGATCACATTCACTCATACATTGAAAAACATTTGAGCACTGGGCTTTGTGCTGGGGAGAGATTACAGTACCAAAATGACCCAGTCCCTACCCTTAAGTTGCTTATAAATGACTAGTGGAAACAGACATGTAAATGGATCATTGCAAGTCACTGTAAAAGCAAGTACAAGATTCTGTGGGGGCATAAAGGAGGAAATGGGCAGGAATGAAGAGATTGCTGAGGAGCAGTGGGCGGGAATGGACACAAGCAGGACATGTGTTCTGGAGACAGGACTGGCCTTCATTTATTCAACTCACTCAACAGATATTTATTAAGGATCTACTCTATCTGACTGCCACTACTCCAGGAGTTGAGGTTACATTTGTGAATAAAACAAAGACCCTGGCCCTCATGGGACTTATGTTTTAGTAGGGGGAGACAGATAATAAATAAAAGACATATAAATAAATGCGATGTTAGGTGGTAAGGAGTGTTGTGGGGCAGAGGAACTGGGAGTGTGGGAGGGGGTTGTAATTTTGTTTTTCAATTTTTTTTTCTTTATTGATTTTAGATAGAAAGGGAGAGGGAGAGAGAGATAGAAACATTGATGAGAGAGAACATCTATTGGCTGCCTCCTGCATGCCCCCCACTGGGGATCGGGCCCACAACCTGGGCATGTGCCCTGACCGGGAATCACACCGGTGACCTCTAGGTGCGAGGGTTGACGCTCAGTCACTGAGCCACACCGGCTGGGTGGGGGTTGTAATTTTTAACAGGATGGTCAGGAAACAGTGAATAAGTATCAAGAAATAAACTGTTTCTGATGTTTAGTTGCATATTTGAACGCAGAGCAAGCCTATTTTTCATATTGCTTAACTAGATTCTTCAAGAAATTATATCTGAGATTGGTAAACTGTAGCTTGTCTCCTTTTGTTTTAAATAGTTTTATTGGGACATGGCCACATTTGTTTTTATATTGTCTATGGCTGCTTATTCAATACAATGGCAGAGTTCAGTAGTTACAACAGAGATCCTTTGGCCCCAAATATTTACTAAATATTTATTCTCTGGCCCTTTACAGGAAAAGTTTTTTGATCTACTACTTAAAGATTTGAGGATCTGTCCATATTTCACAATTTAGATTATATATGGTCTTGTACCATTTGTTTCCCCTCACTTGAGTATATGTTTTTGTTGATTTGAGAGAGAGAGAGAGAAACATTGATGTGACAGAGAAACATCAGTTGTTGCCTCCCGTACATGCCTCGACTGAGGATTGAATTCGCAACTGGGGTATGTACCCTGACTGGGAATTGAACCTGCAACCTTTTGGTGTACAGGACAACGCTCCAACCAACTGAGCCACACTGGCCAGGGCAGTCTTGTACCATTTTTCAATGAAAAAAAAAAAGTTTTTCCTAACAAGATAAGGGATCATGTATCATTCATGTATCCTCCACAGGTCTAGGAAATAGTGTCATCAACAATTGTAATAGTAGCTGTCGTGTGCTGAATGACTAGTATGTGCCACACACTACACTGAGCACATTACAGGTGTTTCTAATGCAAAGCCCTGCAGTGTAGGTTGTTATCACAGATTTAGCGACGTGGGAGTTGAGGCTCAGAGTGGTCGAATACTTTGTCGAGTTATAAAGATAATATCTGTCACCTCTGGGGTCCTTCCCTAATGTAGTCAGTGCCCCTTCCATTACTTTATGTTGCTGTTTTTGAAAGTATTTGCTGACTTGAAGGAAGTATCAGTCTTTCATTTTCTATCATCAGTGTCCTGTCATAGTCTGTGCTTCCCTCCCTCATCCCTTTGTTCATGTCACTCTGCACAGTGTCTTCAGCAGCCCTGTCTGCCTTTTGAAATGTTATTTCTTCAAGGCCCAGAGGAGACACCACACTCTCCTCTTATCACAGGTGCTTTTTTCTTCCCCTCATTCCCTGTCCTTGGCTGTAGGGCCTCAAAGGAGTGTGTGCAGCTTAGCAAAAGCATTTACTGGTGTTTGCGTGAGTAGGCCCTGTGGTAGCCACTGTGTGTGTGTGTGTGTGTGTGTAGCTGTGTGTGGGGAGTGTGGTTTGTGTGTTTGTGTCAGTGTGTCTGTGGCATGTGAGTGTGTGTATGAGATTGTGTGTGGTATGAGAGTATAGCTATTTGTGTGCCTGGTGTGTGATTGTGGAGCTGTGTATGGTGCATTTGATATGTATGTGTGAGGTTGTGTTGAGAGAGAATGTGGTGTGAGTGTGTGTATGTATGTGACTGAGTGTGGTAGGTATGTGTGGTGAAGAACATGGCTGTGTCTGGTATGTGAGTGTGGCTGCGCCTGTGGTGTGAGTGTGTGTGCATGTGGCTGCATGTGGTGTTTGAGAGTGGAAGTGTGTACTGACCAGTAGGGCATGGCCCAGGCCCCGCAGTAGGTCTTGGAAATCTCACATGTTAACTCTTACTATTATTATTATTATTATTATTATTTTAATCCTCACCCGAGGATATTTTCCCATTTATCTTCAGATAGAATGGGATGGAGAGAGAGAGAAACATCGATGTGAGAGAGACACATCGATTGGTTGCCTCCCGTGCGACCCCTGACCAGGGCTGGGGACTGAACCACAACGGATCGTGCTGTTGACCGGAATCGACGCCCTAACCCTTGGGCCAAACCAGCAAGTGCTCAGAGGTTAACTCTTTAGCTGCTGAATTATGGTGCGGTCCGAGGAAGGGAACGGAAGGGTGGGCCTTGTAGACAACTAGGAGAGCCTCAAGGATGAGAGGCTCTGCTACGCTCATTGGGAGAGCAGGCACATAGGGGGACACTTTCAAAGAAAGGATTTTCAAAACAAGATTTAAAAAGTTGCCGTTAACGCAGTTAGGCAGAAAAACTGAACTCATTCTAAAGTGGAAGTTCCTTTACTTGCACATAAATTACAGCCTGGACTGTTACCGTTCAGTGGTATTAAGAAAAACGATACTATTCAACTTGCACAAATATCTGTTGGTGGTGCACAAAGCGGTGCCTTCTTTTCGTTCTGGTTTGGTAGCTTTAAATATCTGGAGGTTTGTTTATTCATTTGAAAGTAAGTAAGTAAAGACATTCTATGCAAGCTATCCCCATTAATGAGGTTCCTTCTGATGGCTGGTTCCATGGGAAGGTGTATACCCCTTCAAACAGAACAAGACTCCCCGTGGCCTGGCCTGACCCAAGGAATAAAGGTGTTGGCCGTTTGTGTTCATTCTCAGGGTTCAGAGATGGGCAGTGAGAAGGAGCAGAATCCAGAACAGCACCTGCCTGAGGAAGGGGAGCGGGGTAAGCCTTGGAGAGTGGATGACTCAGAGGGTTTTCGGATCCTGTATGGGGAGAAAGAGCATGGGCAAGAGAGCCTGTTGGAGGGGTCGCAAGGGATCCATCCAAAAAAGCCATGGCAGAAAGTCACTGTCCGCACTGGAGAGCCAGGGCCCATTGCTCATCCAAGGCTTGAGGCCGATGAGAAGCCCTTTATATGTGCCCAGTGTGGCAAAACCTTCAATAATACCTCCAACCTGAGAACACACCAGCGGATCCACACTGGCGAGAAACCTTACAAATGTTCTGAATGTGGCAAGAGCTTCTCGAGAAGTTCCAACCGCATCCGGCACGAGCGGATCCACCTGGAAGAGAAGCACTACCAATGTCCCAAGTGTCAGGAGAGCTTTCGGCGGCGCTCGGATCTCACCACACACCAGCAAGATCACCTAGGCAAGCGGCCATACCGCTGTGACATCTGTGGCAAGAGCTTCAGCCAGAGCGCCGCGCTGGCCGTGCATCACCGGACCCACCTCGAGCCGGCGCCCTACATCTGCTGTGAGTGCGGGAAGAGCTTCAGCAACAGCTCCAGCTTTGGGGTGCACCACCGCACCCACACAGGAGAGAGGCCTTACGAGTGCACCGAATGCGGGCGGACCTTCAGCGATATCTCCAACTTTGGAGCACACCAGAGGACCCACAGAGGGGAGAAGCCCTACCGGTGCACTCTGTGTGGGAAACACTTCTCCCGGAGCTCAAATCTCATCCGCCACCAGAAAACACACATGGGAGAGCAGGCTGGGAAGGATTCCAGCTGAAGGAGAGTGAGGGAGAGAGCGAGAGACCCCAGCCTAGTGTAGGAAGATCTTTAGGATCTGCGGCTTCCCCTTTGACCTCGAGCCCTACACCCCACTTTGAAGAACGGTTTCCTGTTGCTGCTGAAGCCAGGATCTCCAGGAAATCCAATTTTTTGCTTTGGAAAGTCAGAGGATCTGGTTCTTGGCTTCATCTCCTTGGGGTGAAAGAGAAATAGGGTAGGTTTAGAACATGCTCGTTTTATTAGGGCAGCCGCCCCTGGCCTTTAAGGAAGCACCTGTGAGATGGGCATCACTGTCTGAAGACCCTCCAAATTGCGTATGGACTGCTTAGGGCCCACTGCAGTGGCCTGCCAGCTCCCCTGCTGGGAGGAACGTCCTCCCAATGGAGGGGCCTCCTGGCCTGGAGAAGAGTTCTGAGGTCCCGCCTTAGAAATGAAAGGGAAGCCCTCAGGGAGCCATGATCCAGGGACCTTCACACTCCCCCATGCGTGTGACTTGTTATCCCTACCCCAACCTGCATCTGTTCCCTGAGTGATTAGCAGTAAAACCCTTCAATGAAAAGGACCTGTGTACTTATTTGGGGGCATCAAAGAAGTGGGGAGCTGGGGAGATGGTCTCTCTGCAGCCACTCTGGAGGAGAGTTGATTCAAGAAAGACAGGATGGGTGCTTGCTCGGAAAAGCAAGGAAAGCAGGCTGAGTCTCTGGGCCATTGAGGAGGAGGGACAAAGGAAAGGATGAAACATTAATTGAGCATCCACTGTATGCCATAGGTTCCACCAGTCACTTTTACAGCCTTTATTCATTTAGTTGTCACAGCAACCCTCAAGGGAGTAAGATGAGGAAACAGGTGAGGAAGGGCGAAGTCACTTGCTGTGAAGTCACACAGCAGGTATGTAGTAGAACCAGAGTTCACGCTTGGGCCTCCCTAGAATCTGAGATGATACTCTTCACTGCATTTACCTTGCTGGCTCTGAAGGAGCCACTTAGGGGGCTGGCCTGGGACCAAGTGATTGCCTGGAGGTGGGGGCTAGTGTGGCCTCTTGATGGGGCTCTGGACTAGTTGTTCTGTAGGAAGTTAGTGCCAGCCTTTTTAATTTTAGAGTATTGATTGATCACTTATTCTGTGTTCAGGAAAAATGACAGTGGTAGGGAGTAGGGGGTAAGGGGTGGGACAAGATGAACCCATAGTGAGAGTCTTTGCCCTTAGTAGCAATAATTTAGTGCCCAAGGCTGGGACAACTTAGGGGTCATCCTGGCTTCCTGCCCTGGTTCAGGCCTGGTTCCACAGTGCAGATTTCAGTGTTTTCTACATAGAAGTTTAGTGTTCACCCAGATTTCCTCCAGTAAATACAAAAGTCCCCTCCCTACTTCCTGCCAGTCTGGGATCCTGCTCCTCTGGACTGAAGGGCCCTCTTTACTTGTAGCCAGTTGACAGAATATGGCTGTGGCACCAGGCTTGGAACTGACATCACCTATAGCCTGACCTGTCACATGGGGCCCTGCCCCACCCCCCGCCCCTGAAGCGATGTGCCCAGTTGTTGTTTTTTTTATCCTCACCCGAGAACATTTTTGCATTTATCTTCAGATAGAGCGGGAGGGAGAGAGGAAGGAAGAGAGAGAGAGAGAAACATCAATGTGAGAGAGACACATCGACTGGTTGCCACCCACATGACCCCAACTGGGGCCGGGGACAAACTGCAACCGAGGTACGTGCCCTCAGAGGGAACCGAACCCAGGACTCTGGTTCGTGGTCCGACGCTCTAACCGCTGAGCCAAACCGCCCAGGGCGTGCCCAGTTGTTTTACACTCTTCATCCCACTGAATTCTCACAATCCTGTGAAGTTAGACTTATGCAGAAACAGGCTGACAGAAAATGACTTACCCAAGATTATGAGGCAAGGAACTGAACCTACTTCTGCCCAAATCCAAAACCTGTATTTTTTCCAACTATAAAAGAAGACTTCTCAAATGATTCCCTGGCATTTGTATGACACTTTACAGTTCACAAAGCACTTATTTCACACACATTTCCCTGCTTCTTGAAAATCCCCATACAAGTCACCCAAACTTGTGCGTATGAATTATCACATGCCCTAATAATAAAAGTCGCCATCTATCAAACATCTGCTGAGCACCAGTTATTGAACACCTATTACCTTTGATCTCCATAACGATCCTGCAAGGTAGCAGTGTCCACATTTTCAAGATAAGAAAATTCCAAGAGGTGAAATGACCAACGTAATGACTGAGCTGGGATTCAAATCAGGTATGTCTGATTCCAAGGCCACGCTCTTCGTTATACCCATGACCACGCTAGGTCTGCTCGTCTCCTCCCAGTCTGCGGAGGTTGGTGTCATTATCATTCCAACCTAGAATCTTAGTGACCTAGAGTCTTAATGACAACTACTGTGACTTCGGGGAGCCTTTGCTGCAGTAAGACCCAGGACAAAGCTTTACAAGGCACTTGCTTTGATCATGGGACATAACTTGCTGACCAATCTCATTTGCCCTCTTTTTTGATTTTTATCCTCACCAGAGGACATTTTTTCATCAGATAGAGTGGGAGGGGGAGAGAAAGAGAGAAACATTGACGTGAAAGGGACACATCTAGTGGCTGCCTCCCACACCACCCCAACCGGGGTCGGGGACAAACTGCAACCAAGGTACGTGCCCTTAGTGGGAACTGAACCCCAGTCTCTCTGGACCATTGGCCGATGCTCTAACTGCTAAGCCAAACTGGTCAGGGCTCATTTGCCCTCTTCTGACCAAGTTCATGGGCAGGGGTTTCTGTTGTCCAGACTTTTGAGTCTTGACTCGATAAGTTTTTCACTCTCTGACTTCCTTTTTTGTTAACTTCCTTTATTTTCTCCTCTCCTCCCTTTTCCCTCCTTTCCCCCCCTCCTGCCTCCCCCTTGTCCTAGTTACTGGGAATACGGACAATGAAGAAGACATGACCCCTGTATTCTCTGAGTCCAGGAGGTTGGCACACAAACCCAGAGTTCCCATGCAGGATGACAGCTGTCCTTACAGTTGTTCCCAGGGTTCTGTAGGAGCCCAGGGGAGGGCCTGAAATTGACCTATATTGGACAGTGGGGCCCAGAAATTAACAATACGTAGTCCTTCCTTCACGGGACCCAGAGGAAGAAAACCTTCCCTCTGAACGAGGTGTTGGAGAACGCAGGTGGGAATGGCTCTCTGGAGGGGAGGAGGAGGCCGAGACGATGACTGCGTTTGGTCTGGAAGAATGAATAGGTGTTTACCAGGTAAAGAGGAGGAAGAGAAGGCTTAGTGTTTTAGGTAACGGTGGAATGTTTGATATGGTTGAGTGTCCTGTGAGGAGCAGATGGAGCTTATAAAGCAAATGGAGGCCAGACCATGAAGGATACAGAATTTGGACTGTGGACAATAGTGTAAAGCAGGGGAATGTTGTGATCACATTACCCTCTAGGAAGAGCGCTGATGTTAGTGTGGAGGGTAAATTAAAGGGGGCCAAGTTAGTAGGTGCCAGTGGGCGCTCTCCTGGCCCACAGAGCTCTGTATGATGACTCAGGGCCTTGCCAGGTCCATGGATGGAAAGTTCAAACCCTCCACACAATTTCTGCAGATTCCTAGGATTGATGCTTTTATGGTCTCCTCTCGCCAAAGGTTCCTGTGGTCTATACAAGCCTTCTCTGTTTTGTCTCCATTAGCACTATCCCAGAACTAAGCACCTTCATCGACTTTCCTAAGAGATTCTGTTATAACAGGCATGTAGAATCCCTTTGAGAAGTTGGGAATCTTGGGGAGGGGTTTACATCATGGCATGTCACTAGCTTTGTCTCCTCTTTCCTCCCATTGCTGCCCTTACCCCCATTCTCCCAGATAGCTCTCAAAATTCCAGGTTGTTTTACTCTATTATAAAAAACTGTTTGGGCCCTGGCCGGTTTGGCTCAGCGGTTAGAGCGTCGGCCTGCGGTCCAGAGAGACCCGGGTTCGGTTCCCACTAAGGGCATGTACCTCGGTTGCAGTTTGTCCCCGGCCCTGGTTGGTCGTGTGGGTGGCAGCCACTCGATGTGTCCCTTCACATCGATGTTTCTCTCTCTCTTCCTCTTTCTCCCTCCCGCTCTATCTGAACAAAAAATGGAAAAATGTCCTCGGGTGAGGATAAAAAAAAACAAAAAAAAACTGTTTGGTCTTCCTTAGCCCTTGATGCCAATTTGCATACACAAACATATCAAGGATCAGCAGAACAGAGGCCTCACTATTTAACAGCATGCCCAACCCATAAAACATTTACAAAAATAAACAAATGTCCTTGGAGATTTGCAAAGCATGTAAAGAATAAATGTTTAAGACAGTAGTCTGAGCACAAGTGATTGTCTCTTCTCCTTCTGACACCCCCTTAAAACGACAGAAAAGGATATAAACACATAACAGCAAAGAGAATGGCAGGGAAGAAGAGAGGCAGGTGCAAAGATATCAACAGATTCCTAGGAATAGATGACATACAAGGATGGCTTCACAGAGTGAAGGAAGCCATAGCCCAGACGTAGGCAATGGAAGTGAGAGCCAGTCTTCCTGGCAAAATTCTAGAGCGGCTCTGAGTTCATAATTAGCAAGTACTGAGGACATATAAAATGTGGACCTAAAAACTAGAGTTTGTACGTCTGTCTATGCAGAAGCTTGCACCAGTCACCCCCCTCTTATCTCCAGAATGGAGGGTGACTGGCACTTACCTCCAAACACACATACATGTGCATGTGTGCACATGTAGCAAGAACCCAGAGAGGTTCGTTCTATAGAAATCCAATAAATCTCTAAGAGAAATCTAGTGTGTTTAGTGGGGTGTTGTGTACCAGAATAAAGCTTTTGTTATTCTGACATTTACAAACCCTCCCCCATCTCCCCAACAATCACCCACCCACTGACCCTATAGTCAAGTATGCCAGAAAATCATACTCATTTTTCCTATTCAAGCCGGTGACTGTATCAGGGAAATAGTTACAGCAACAGAGAAAAACAATTCAATTACTGAAATTAATCAACTTGGTCTGTTATTTCATAAACAGGCCTCCAGGAGCACCAGAGTTATGAAGACAGCTAGAAGAGAGAGAGAGAGAGAGAGAGAGAGAGAGAGAGAGAGAGAGAGGAAACAGAATAAGCGATTCTAGAAAACAAAGTTGTAATGGCACAGAAGAATTTTTTAAAATTCTAATTATAACCAGGCCAGTGTGACTCAGTGGACTGCGTCTCTTGGACTGAGAGGTCCTGGCTTGACTCCTGGTCAGGGCACATGCCCAGGTTGCAGGCTCAATCCCCAGTAGGGGGTGTGCAGGAGGCGGCTGATAGATGTTTCACATTGATGTTTCTATTTCTCCCTTCTTCTCTCTCTAAAAAACTCAATAAAAACATATTAAAAAATAAAAATGAAAATTCTAATTATATCCTCAGAAAGATCTAAGAGGATACTACTTCCATAAAACAAAAAAGGTTGCTAGAGGAAAGAAACAATTGGAAAATAAGAAATAGCTTTTGGGGATTAAACATAATGATAGC